TACTACGTAACGGTCCAAGTTGCCACACCTCATATCAGTACATCAAGTAAAAAGGCGGTGAGTTGCAGGATGATGATAAGAAAGTTCAGTCAAAAGAAATATAAAATACCCTGAGAGAGAGAGAAGGAGAGAAAGGAAGAATGAGAAAATGGTGAGATTTGGTATAGTGTCGTTAAGATAAGGATAATGTGTGTGGGGATACATCTGCACCACTGACATCGGTTCTCAGCCATGTCATCACATACAGTCAGTCTCCAACCACTGGTTCCTCTTGTCCTGTGGACACTAACCAGCTGGCTAGTCAGCATCGATCCACATGGCTCAAATCAACAGTAGAAAAGACTTGATACATTGATGCCATGTTTTAATCTGACCACTTCGGGTCTTTTCCCAGTCTCGACCTACTTCGACCAACATTGTGTGATGAGGCAATCGGTGACTAGGCATAAGTAATACGTGTCCCAACCATCTCACTCGACGAAGGTTCATAACCTCGTCAACTCACTTACCTCTTCTCCCTCCCTAAAACTCTACACCTCACTTCTGCATTACTCACCTGGTGTGGTGACACCAAGGAATACGGCAGCCTATACTACGAAGGTGACGGTGGTCAAACATTTGAAGCCGCCTTCTCATGTCTTCCACCTTCAATGACCATATTTCACAGCCACACAGTAGAATGGAGACGGACTGCTGTGCAGTGCACATCACCCTCAATAGACAATCGGATATGACAACGGCGCATAGGTGGTGTAAGTTGGCAAAAGCCAATCGAGTCTTTTGTATCGGTGCAGAGATTTCATCGGCCACTGAGCCACCAGGGCTGACTCTACTTCCAAGGTAAGTGAAGTGGTCGACGCACTCAACCTCTACACTCTCTATTATTAGCCGTGACACCATTGAAGACCAATTGTGTAGAAACAATTTGCATTTGGGTGATGAGAAATGCATCCCAAACATTCTGAAATTCCCAGTCAAAGTGTTCAGAAGATACTGGATATTGTCAGCGTCTTCACCTAATAGGACTACGTCATCTGCATATTTTAGGTCTAATAAAATTGTCCTGTGATTAAATCAACTTCTGTGTAATCAGGTGACTAAAGGGAGACCTCCATAAGAATATCTATGATAAAATTGAAGGAGAGTGGAGACAATGGGCACCACTCGATGAGCATAACTCACTGGACATCTCACCATAAGCTCTAACACCTCCATAAGTGTTCGAGTAGAGAGCCTTCAATAAGGTGATGTACTTACTCAGCACACCTTTCAGTGAAAGGCATTGCCATAAGACTTCTCGATCAACGGAGTCGAATGCCGCCTTCAGGTTGACAATACAGCTATTGTCAGGCGTAGGTAAGCATGTCTATGTTTCAGAACCTGACGCAGTGTGAATATTTAGTCGATACACCCACGGTTGGTTCTGAAGCCTTGATGTTCCCGATCTCCACTCAGGTGTTGGGAATTATAGATTCTAGGATCTTGGACAGTATGTTCGTCAGGCTGATTCCACTGTGGTTATCACGGGAGGACTTCTCGCCTTTCTTGAAGACTGGAATAATCAGTGATTTGGACCAGTCAGACAGGATCACATTTGGTTTCCACATACTAGTTAATACTTCTGTTGACCTGACTAAGAGTACTCTACCACCATCCTTGTATACCTCAGCAGGTAGTCCGTCTGGTCCTGCAGCTCTTTCTCGTTCCAGGTTACCTACTGCTTTTCCAACTTTTGAAAGTTTTGGGGGCCTATCTCAATGTTCCATTCATGGTCCGACTGGATAGCAGGCAACGCAATGGTGGCTGGAGGCCGGTTAAACTGTTCGTCGAAGTGTTCTGCCCATCGTTCCAGTCGTCTCCCCTGCGAGTGAATCTCAGACTCGTTCTTCTCCACTGTAGCCTTACTAACCGCAGTTGACCTTTCCCCCTAGTCTCCTTAATAAGTCTAGATAATTGTCTGCTGTTACCAATCGTCGCTTCCTTTTCCATCCCTTTAGCCTTCACTGCCCACCACTGTTCGCGGTCGTTGCGTAGACTTTCTCAATCTATTTTTTAGTTGCGCTTGCTCTTCATTGCACTCAGAGCCTGCAGGGATGCCTTCACGTGCATCTATTAGTTCGGAAGAAGTTGCCGACATACACTGGTTATTTGCAGCCACTATTTCGGAGTCGGCTACGGTCTTCAGTGCTGCTTTTACAGCAGATCGGAGATGACACCAAGCTTCTTCTGGATGAGTGTTAGTCTTCTGTTCCGATAACTGCCAAGCCAACTCTCACGGAATACGGCTTTGGTGTAGTCTTTGTCCAGCAGCACTCGTAGTGGTTTTGTTGCCAAATTCTTCCTACGTCCATTGAGATGCAGACATATACGCGCTCGGACCATCACGTGGTCGCTATCCAAACATGTACTCCAGAAGGAGCGGCAGTCTTCAACCGATGACTGATAGCAATGTCGTCTATCTGTATCTATTGCTGAGTTGAGCCCAGCGGACTCCACGTCAGACAGTCTTTCCTTATGTCTGAAATTCGTGTTAGCTAAAAATAGGTTCAGCCGGGATTCCGAAAGTGCCACCTAAGTGCCTTTATGCCTCACTCAGTCTACCTACCTGTGCATTGAAATCACCTGCAACAACCACCACTTCTGAACGTTTGGCTTTCGAGAGGAGGCTAGATAGTTTTCGGTTAAACTTGTGCTTCACTTCATCCGAACTTCAGTCAGTGGGTGTGCAAGCAGAGATTACAAAGAGACAACGGCTAATCTCACTATTCCTTTCAGTTCTCACCGTGCCGTTCAGTCGGACAGCGTAGAGGCGACCATCAACTGGGATCCAGTCTAGTAGTGAGCCTCCTGCCCTAGTGCTTAATGCTATGCCTACACCTGCAAGACCACGAGAGTTAGCCATCGAATCCCCAGAAACTCGAAGGGTGAATTTTGTGGACTCACCAGATTTGTTGGGAGAGGTCAGGTGAATAACCACACTTGGGTCCTGTGTGCGAATCTCAGAAACACAGCACACATCCGTGGCCCAAGTTGCTAGAGTCTTTACCAATGAAGCCTGTTGACCAACTTGACGGAGGGTGCAGACACTGAAGGCTCCAATATGTAATTTGGAGCATGGTTTAAGGAGACAAAGGATGCTTTTCTGTGAACTCAGATCGTTGTTCAAGGCTGCAGTGCTGGGAGAAATCGAAGATGATGTAGTACTGTTAATTGAGAGACGTGAAAGAAGATAAGAAGGTAATGATGAGGGAGGTGGAGAGCAGTCTGAGGATACTTGAGTGCTGACAGAGTGAGTTGTGAGGGCGGTTGATACTTCCCGGCTGCCCACACCGTAGAAAGCTATTTCTTCTTGAGGTGCCTGAAAGAGATTTGTGTAACCGCAGAGCCCATCGGAAATCTGCTTGACGCCTGTCACACACAGCCTTTTGTTTATGGTTGTTTTGAAGTTTTGTTATTTTGAGGCCGGGTGGTCAAAAACAAACGACAAATGAACCAACACCACCGGCCCAGCAGACCGTGGGGTATGGTGGAATGTGTTATTTTTGAAACCGACCTTTTCTAACCCCTCACCCCTTCCACTGAGAAGGCAGTATCAGCATAGCATGGCACTGTTGGTCATCCAAGGGAAACAGCTTACTACTGTCATACCCTATCCAGCTAGCAGCAGTACGGCTTCGCTTCCAGACCCCCATCATAGTGTAGTAATATTCATCACAACGGTAGCTGCTTTTCGTCTAGCTACTATCCAACAGACCTTTCTGGTATGTTAGGACCTTGAGGGAACAAGTGTTCCACTAGCATAGCTAGTTGGGTAGTTGTTATATGCACCACGTCAAGGTCGAGCCTAAATGGTCTCTCACCATTCAAGTTGTCCTATATATTTCCATAACTAGTAAAACTTTAGTGTCAGAGATCAAAATCTATGATCTTGGTTAGATGATTTCTACAAGAAATTCTTATTACACTATATTAGGACTGCTTTAAAACTGCTCGACTGTTAGCTGCATCACAATGAAGCATGGGATATATAAAAAGTTTACAAACTGACCATCTGTTTTTAAAGTATTTACACTTACAGATCTTCAGTAAAACAAACAATGTGAGTGAAGAAATATTTCTTTTCATTCAGTTCCCCATCAATGGCTCTACACTAATATATGTAGCATTTTCAAACGTAAAACCGCATACCAATCTAGTGATAGGAGTTGTTCAATGAAAGGTTATCAATCTCAAAGTATCAAGAAGGTGATAATTGATCAGGTAATTAAGACAGTGTTAACTAAAGCAGAGATTAATTATCGTAGAAAGATTTTGTGAACAGGTTCTTACATAATTGATATTTAGTGTAATGATAACTAAAGAACAAAAATGAACTGTTACGTAAAATGGTAAATTGTTGACGGTAATTCGAGACAGTAGGGGGAATTATTTATCACATCCCTTCTCACCTCACCCATGCTCTACGAGTTCGTCTTTTACATACAGCAGAAGCCATAGGAATCCACCTACACAAGTCAAGTTTGTGTGTTCAGAGACTTTACCATCTTTCTCTCCACCTACTGTCTCTAATTACCGTCAACAATTTACCATTTTACGTAACAGTTCATTTTTGCTCTTTAGTTATCATTACACTAAATATCAATTATGTAAGAACCTGTTCACAAAATCTTTCTACGATAATTAATCTCTGCTTTAGTTAACACTGTCTTAATTACCTGATCAATTATCACCTTCTTGATACTTTGAGATTGGTAACCTTTCATTGAATAACTCTCACCACTAGATTGGTATGTAATTTTACGTTTGAAAATGCTACATATATTAATTAGTGTAGAGCCATTGATGAGGAACTAATTGAAAAGAAATATTTCTTCACTCACATTGTTTGTTTTACTAAATGGGGATTTTTACATTACTGAGATCTTCAGTAGTACCATAGGAAATGTGAAAGTTGTGAATTGAATAACTTTTTTTATCAAAGCGCTCTCTTTTCATTTCAGAAAGAACCATACAGTCAGTACTCAAGAAGTCAAAGCGTAAGTGAAATTTACCGTGGCGTTTCATTTTGTACAATCAACTGCGTATAACTTCTATTATGTAAAGACGTCTGTAAATAATTTCTGATCTAATTTGAAACATTTATTCGACCGTAGCACATAAGCTTTGTGTACATGTCTTACAGCGTTTCTGTGGCTCATATTGTATGACTGTCTATCTGGTAGTAGTTAGCAGTAGTTGTTATCATTATTTGTTCCTTGGGTTCCCAGTAGAACATACAGCTTCAGCTGTACATCAACATTTCACTCTTCTCTACAATCTCTTCAACCTGGCTCCATGACTACTCATGACCTTCCATTTCTTCTTCACACCATCTCTTCCATGTCACCCTCAGAAACCCAACTCGTCTTTTCCCATCTGTGTTCTACTCGACGACCTGGCCTGATGCGTGATGTCACTAAACCGTCTTCTCAGTCTATACCCAATACAATCCAATCCAATCCAATCCAATCCAGTCAAATCAAATCCATCTCCACTCTCCTCTTCTGCATACTTGTTGGGAGATAGATTCTTACTTCGTTGGTTGGTTCGTTGCCAGACAGATCAGAGTTCCTCTTTGCTTATTCTTTCTCGCCATCTCATCTCATCTCATCTCATCTCATGTCATCTGATCTGATCTGGTCTTCAGTATGGAGTTGGAGTAGACGGTAGGTGTTTATGATGTATATCTGCAGTTTGTTCGAGATGCGTTTAGTAGTGCGCTGAAGTCTGTCAAGCATCATCCTATGGGAGCAGTGACTTGACTGACTTATTGTTGGAAATTTTGATCTTGTTGTTTATGCTGAGTGTAGTGTAGAGTAGTGTAGTGTAGTGTAGTGCAGGAGTCAGACCGTCATCAACAGGAGGTTTCACCGCATTCAAATGTTTTGCTTATTTCTGTCACATAATTCGAGGTGTGTTTCGAAACGATGAAAACTTAAACTAATGGTGTCCTTCATTTTGTACCACACTTGAAAAATGTTATTTACGAGCATCATGAAACCATAGCTGAGGGTTATTAGCTACGCTGAAATCGTTGTCAAATATTAAATAGGTCTATGCAAGTGGCCTCAACTCTACTCAGTCCGTAATGAGGGGAAAGCATGTATATAATTACCACTCAGGGTTCAAGGGGACTAGGGATATTATTAGTTGTGGTTTCTGATGGACAACATGTTCTCTTTGGTTAATATCCAGAAGACGTTTGTACTGGTGATGTCTAGAATGGTAATGAAAGCTTCACTACAGAACGATTCATTTTAGAGAATACGACGACACCATCAGAAAATAGCAAGATTTGTCTTAATCCAATAAGACTGAACCCACTCAACAAGTAAGTGAATAATCATGAACTATCAAGTGAACCTCACCTACTGCTGTAACTACCTGGGTGCTTAAACCTTGGAAGGTCGAAAAAAGTGTGAACTGATGGTCCACTGGATTAAAATTAACTACCTAGATCAATTAGTTTGATTTTAGACAATAATCTGGTCTACTTATAATTCTGCATGAATTGCTGATAATGAGTAGGTTTAAGATTAATTGGAACATTTCTATCTGTTAAGCCGAAATGAGCGTTACTCTCAATGGCGAAAGCATCATGCGAAGTTATATGTGAGGCATATATAACAAGACGAATAAGGTTATATAAGTGAACTAGTTTTCAAAAAAGCATATCAAATGATTTCTTCAGTCTAATAGGTTAGTCAAGAACAAGATATCCAGCGAAGAGACTCTTTTCAACGAAGTCATTTTCAAGCTGTACAATCGTATATATATATATATATATATATATATATATATATATATATATATATATATATATATGTTAATAGAGCGGATGATGACATAGACATTTGTGATCATGATAACAAAGCAGATTATGTAATATATGGAATGGTTCATAGGAGGTATATAACTCAGAAGGGGGTGAGACAATTGATGAAAGTGGTAAATCAACTAAGTATTATATAATAGGATTAGACAGGTTGGACAAAATGAAATCAATGTTTTCTAAAAAGATTAAGTGAAATAACACTCCAGAAACTAATCAAAGTGAAGGTAATTATGATAGCAACAATAGTGATAAAGGAAGGATACAAAGGGGGATAGAAATTAAGAAAGGGGGAGGGGGAGGGGGAGCTAATGGGGTGGGAAAATGTTATGGCCATGATAAAAACAGTGATCACTGCACATACTTCTTTTGTACACACAGATGAGGTTTTAGTTCATGAATAGTTAAAGCCTCCACTATTTTAAGGAGTTGAAAACGTAGAGAAGGTGAGAGGTTTGGGTGAATTTGATAATTTTAAAGTCATTGTCTAGATTTGTTGTGTGATGGGAGTCAATCAAATGTTCTAGAATCGAACTTCTAACCGATTTTCTTTCATCTTTATAAAACCCAACAGGAACATGTTCTCGTATACGTGTAGAAAGCATTCTGTGACTATGGCCGATGTACCTTACTCTAGAAGAGTAGGTGAACTGGTAGATGCATAGAGAGGCGGTCAAATATCATATATATATGCGATTGTACAGCTTGAAAATGACTTCGTTGAAAAGAGTCTATTCGATGAATGTCTTATTCTTGTTGTTACAATGGGAATTATAAAATTAGTAGATTGGTAACAGTTACTAAAATCTTTATTTTGCAAATTCTTCGACAACATTCATAAGTCTTGTTTTTTTTGCTCACTATTGGTGGTCTGGTCATTCATTTCATAAGACTACAAAGTACTTGTTCATTGATACTTTTGATACTGACTGCGATAGACGTCTATCTCTAACCTTCGTAGCCTTTTGGATAACCTTTCTTGTCTGAAATGGTTGGCAATGGGTTCGGATCTCAGGTAGGAACGCCATCACTCAGTTAGATCTAAGTACATTCAGCTGATGAATCTTAAATAAAACGAAACGAGAGTGTTAGATTTGATTGAAAATCCCCATTAGTCAAACTCCGAAATACTACATGCTTACACTGAATTCATGAGGTTTTGTATATTGGATTAAGAAAAGGTATACGACAACAAGGGTCATTACTAGGATAGTTGCAATGCATACAGTTTCTGAAATAGGCTGTTTTTGCGGTTCTCCTTTATTAGTATGATTCATAATTGATTAAATGAAACTTGAGGACTGCGGGTAAATGTTGAGAAGTGATCAGATAACTTCTCTACATTTAATTTCAACATTTGACACATTTTCTCTGAGAAATGATACGTAGATTTTGCTGGTGAACACCACTGTAATATGTTCCAAGTGATAATTACTGTCTCGTTCAGGTACTATCGTTCCAAAACAGTTCTTTGAACCTTGATGTATTCAAGCTTGATCAATAATGACTTAAGACAGACACTTTCTTAATTGCTTATTATGAAGACGGTGATGAGACTAAACATTTCTTCAAAACTATCAGATGAAGTGACTTGTTACAAGATGAATATCCTCAAGTTCTGTGAGACAAACCAAGTTGGATATGAGGACAACTTTCACCGGTGAAATTAATTATTGAACGCATAATATCCAAAACTGTTAGAAGTATGAAACATAGATAGCTGAATTTCAGTCCACTGACTGCATTGTAACATGTAAATTGGGAGATTTGTTGGTCATGAGCCCTAGCCTTCCCAGTTAAAGTGAAAGTCTGCTACTTGGAAGAAACAGTTGTCCAACACCTACAGGTTTTTACTAATTTTCCAAATCATTTTAGTCCAGAATGTAAACTGCCTTCTAATATTTTGATAATAGTTAGAGATATTCAGTTGAAAGTAATAATCTCACATATTTATTTTATTAATTATTCTAGGATAATTAGTTCAGTTATGAAGCATTTACTTGGCTAGTTCTTTTAACATATAACCTATGGAACAGTTACCATACGGATCATTAACATATTCCAACAGTAGAAACAATAAGCCTGTACCCATTTCTGCTTCCTTGATAATGTTATACATGCTTGAGATCAAATAAATGCATTCTTTAATCAATTCAGCATTATTGTAGTCCAATGATAAACGTTAAGAAAGTAGGCCTTATCATTATTAAAAATGTTAGATGCTGAGTAGATGAATTTAAGGGTCACCTGGGTTCTAGTGAAACATAGAGCTTCAGTGGCACGTCGTCATTTCACTCTCTTCTCTGTAGTCTTTTCAACCTGACTCCACCAATGCCCGCAAGCTTTCATTTATTCCTCAAACCGTCTCCTCCATGTCATCTCGGGACGCGAAACTTGTAGTTTCCACTGGACGGTCTGGCCTGATGCGTGATGTCACTAAACCGTCTTCTCAGTCTATACCCAATACAATCCAATCCAGTCAAATCAAATCCATCTCCACTCTCCTCTTCTGCATACTTGTTGGGAGATAGATTCTTACTTCGTTGGTTGGTTCGTTGCCAGACAGATCAGAGTTCCTCCTTGCTTATTCTTTCTCGCCATCTCATCTCATCTCATCTCATCTCATCTCATGTCATCTGATCTGATCTGGTCTTCAGTATGGAGTTGGAGTAGACGGTAGGTGTTTATGATGTATATCTGCAGTTTGTTCGAGATGCGTTTAGTAGTGCGCTGAAGTCTGTCAAGCATCATCCTATGGGAGCAGTGACTTGACTGACTTATTGTTGGAAATTTGGATCTTGTTGTTTGTGCTGAGTGTAGTGTAGTGTAGTGCAGTAGATGTCCACACTGATCTCTACAGATTAGTGAAGATATGTTTTGCTCTCTTCCCGATGCTGGCTTTGGCATCGCCATCTGTGTTGCTGCCACTGTCTCCTGTAGATGAAACGAAACTGTCAATGTGGGTAGATGAAAGAGACAACTTCTTTCACATTTTTCCCATTGAGTGTAATTGGTATTTCTTGTTACTGTTGGTTGGGTGGTATCTCCATCCCGTCTGTTTTCCCTACGTTCACCTGAAAGAAGTCCCGTCTTCTCTGCCACTTCTGCCAACTTGTTGGTCTTCACCTGTTGATCTTCGAATTTGTGTGACATTAGACATAAATC